GGAACTCAGAAGTCACCCAGTACTAACCAAACCATGATTATAATTTGAAATATGAAATGTGAGTTCCAGCTGTCTTCTCCTCCTTTGTGGAGGAAGGCTTCCTTCCTTCTCTACTTAACTTCTTATCTTTCTTCCCAACCCTTTCTACCATTTTCTTTAGAAAAAAAAAAACAAACCCAAAAGCAGAAGACAACACCCCCCTGCACCCCCAACCCACAGAAGGTTAAAAATAATTAAGTAAAGAAAGCCTGCCTTAGTCCAGACAATTTCTCTCCGACAACAATTATAAGCTTGGAACCAAGAAAAAAAAACTTACACAGCTACAGCTGACACAAGGCTGTCAGTTCTCAGAACTGCTGATAAAATGTATGTTGTGCCCTAATTTCTGATACAGACTAGTTATGAAAACATCAAGAATAGAAGATGCATTATGTGATTTCTGCTCTTGGGCTCTTTTTTACCTGCTGTGTATTTGCCTGGTTTAGCTCACAAGGCAGTTGTATCTGAATTCAACAAGAAAAAAAGTTTCACAGTAAATGCATTAACATGTATGACAACCATTTAACTTCTTCCAAAAAGAAACTTGCTGCACTCTGTAATTTCTCCTAATAAGATTGTTCCAAGAAAATAATTTCAGTTAAAGGGAGGTTGTGGTCAAGCAAGATCTTAACCTGATCTTTGCAAAGCTCTTCAGTATCTTCTGAATGTTCATGTTATCCACATCATCCCTACAACTCTTTACTGAACCCCTTCCAGTACACCAACAGGACCTTTAAACTCAAGGCACCGAAACTAACTACAGAATTTTATTATTGGCCTCCCTAGAGCTGTTTATGGAGGAAAAGGCACCTCCTGCAGCTACTTAATATTTCCCTTGCAAATAAATACAAGGATCACGCTTTCTTTATTAGCTACCACATCACACTGCTAGATCTTGTTCTATGCCTTATCCTCCACATGTTACAAGTCATTTTTTGAGTAACTTCCTCTCGTAGTTACTTTACTAATTACCCAAGAAATATTAATTCCCCCAATTTTATATTGTAATTTTTCTACACAGTCCAATTGCCTCCCTGCCCGTTTGCAAACCCTTTACAAATGAAATCTCTTAACTGTGCAAAGAAGTTCAGTACCAAACCAGTCAGATATTGATAATACATGCTAGAAGATTTACCAACACTTACTTTGCCAGGCTTGTTTGCATCAAAGCTGTTTTCCTTAAATTTCTCCTGCAGGGTCTCAGCTAACCGACAAAGCAAGGCACCATTATCCAATTTCTCCATAAAGGTTTCTGCTGTTATTTCTCTACCTGAACAGCAAACAGAAAGTTAACATGGCAGAAAGCATGCAATAGTATAGGCTACATTTGTGTAAAAAGAGAAATCAACAGGAATCTTGACAACAATTTGAAATATGATTGAACTGAATAACTTCCATTACTTTGAGTATTTAGTGAATAACCTCACTACTACTTTACTTGTAGACATAAAGGAAATTATTCAAAACCAACATGCTTTCTTTTGAAGACGTGGTATTTGAAAAATTATTCTAGCGCATATGACTCCCCATATCTCATTTTACTTATGAAATTCCAGTGCCTTTAACATAGTGTTTTAAAAGACAGAGTACAGCAGGAAAATGGTTTACACCAGTGTGTGTGGGTAGCTATAGCATAAGAGTTGCTAACATTGCTGCAGCTTATTTTGTAAGAGAAGTAGAAAACCACACCAAGAAGGAGAGGACTTTTTTTTTTTAAAAAAAAGATTTAAGACTTGATACTGCAAGAAGTTGACAAAATACTACAGTGATTTCAATGCTCCTTTTAATGAGCGTGTTCAGAAGTAAAGTTAGGTACACTAGAAAAGGGCGAGAGTGAAATTCCTGTGTTATTTATCTACTTGCCACACAGATTACAATTTTCACCCAAAGAACAAACCCAAAATACTTTGATTTCAAAATATATCAATTACTATCATGCTAGGTGATGCTGTACTTCATCTGACCATCCTCCCTGGCTATGGCAGATGAGACAACCTTCCACTACACAGTAATTAAACCCTCCTGGTGGCAGAGATCACACCAGTCCCACAAGGAGATGTGCTTTCTGACCAAGCTGGGCAGGCCAGGTGAGAAGAGAATCACTTACCACCCTAAAGTAAACTTCCAGCACCTTAACATCATTTCCAGGAAAAAGTATTCCTACTTGTTATTGAAGGTTTTCCACTTTCACATTTCTACTGGAAATTTTGCCTTCTCTTTGGACACTTTTTTGACCAGCAGCTGTGTTTTTCAGCCCTCTTAACTTCTACCAATATCAAGAGAGCGTCAAGGACTGATTCTTGCTCTTCCTATTACGACAGGATTTATTTTTTTTTGGTGATAATTACATATGTCGTTTGGGAACAGGAATAACACCATCAACTCATTTTTCATAGGCTGTTACACAGCAATCATCAGTAACAATAGTCTACTCTGGAAAAAAAAAAAAAAAACCAAACCCAAACCCAAATTAAAAGTCTAAAATGAGAGTGGTTCTTCATCCCATCCAGACCCACTCCTGCTACTCAAAACAGTCGTCTTTGCAAGCAGGACAAGAATTCTGCCCACTGCTGGTCAGGGTTTTTTTTCCACAGATTTTGACCAACAAGCAGCTGCCTGACTAAAAGAGGTCTTGTGTTTTTCTAGTTAGTTTGGGGTAATTTATTTTCCATGAGATGTCTGGAAACGGAAGACATTCATCTGTTTAGAACATGTTCACAACATGGTTTTTTGTCAAAAAACCCCAGGAAAAATAGATTTAGAAAAAAGAAGTAAAGTTTTTCTGTACCTTTTCACTCAGAAGAGAGGAAAAAGCTAACATTCAAAAGTAACAAAAATAAAGTAGATAATCAAAAATTAATATTGTACTTCTGCAATATATTGTTGATATCACTTATAACACTGGAGATAGCAGTATTATAAAGCAATATTACTACAAAAACGCTAAAGGAAAGTTGATTTCTCTATGCCCTTGCCTGAAAACTGTTAAGATACTTCAGCATCCTTTGGGCAAAAAATTGTGAGTCTTTTCAGTCTGGGCAGTTAAAATCTAAGATAAAGATCTTTGCAGTGAATCATCTTCAGATATAACAGTAGACGTATTTTTGGCTGAAGTTTTTTCTAACACATTTCTACTTCAGAAATATCTCTTCAATGTGAATTTTTTTTCCCTTTTTATTCCTCCTTAATTCTCTCTGCCATATAGCCCGCTTTATAGCTCCTGTGTACCTAAATGACTTCTCCAGGCAAAAGAGCAGTAGCAGCACTGCAGACTTTCAGTGGTAGCTTGTACATAACTGACAATATTTTAGCAATGCCTCCAGCTCAGCTGAAGCCAGGACTGAAACTATAATATAATAGCCCACAGATACAAATGTTGAATATCTCAGCACCTCAGAAGCCTTCATCACCATTCTAGCCTACATACTTTCCCATTTGCCCCATCAGCATTTTTGGGAAAAGGTATAAAGGCATTAGAAAGCTAAATTTGAAATATGACTGTGTTATAGGAAATGCTTTATTTTTAATACAATATTGAATTTTTTAATACTCATTTTCTTCTTAAAAATGTATTTCAAATATTTTTAACCTACTCAATATTTTTATTTTGATTTGGAAAGCATTTTTTTTTTCACACAGGTAAAAAAAAAAAAAAAAAAAATCACATTCTACATAACTATCCTGTCCTATGATTTATAGATTTATTATTTCACTGGTCAAGCATTAAAAAAAAACGTAAAACCTATTTAGATTACACAGACATGGAAAAACTCTTCTATCTTTTTCTGCTATTTAACAATGCATTTATATTATTTCAAATGTTGAATTGCATTAGCAGTTTGGTCACTGCATATTGCAAACTAAGCCAGAGTATTTTAGTTCTGTTCCCTTTTATGAAAGCTGAAAGAATGAGTTTTGCATTGAACATCTGTATCCAATGAAAAATATATTAGGTGTCAGCTTTCAATTCACTGTATTTTATGGCTCCAAAAGGTGGCATTTCTTTGCTAAAACAGACGCTCTGACATATTTAACAGTTGAAATGTATTGATTCAAATGAGAGTAATGTTCATAGCCTGAGGAAAAAAGTGGCTCTGTATATTTGTATGGAAAAAACATTAAACTCCATTAAAAATGTATAACTCCTGCTATAATTACAAGAAAGCAGTTGCAATGTTTTTATAGAATGGTAATAACATTAAGTATAATAAAAAAACAACACTAAAAGTATGAAAAAGAAAAAATAAAAACCACCAACCCAGGAATATGAAGGCTTTCTCAACCCTCACAAGCATTGCTTACCCTCTTTTTTACCACAATCACCAGATGCCCTTTAAAAAGACAGTTATACCTGAACACCTACCACTTGGAAACTGTGGGCAGCTATCTGTAAGGCCACCCAGTCCTGGGGGTCCTAATGCAACCAGACTGGGAGGTCTATGGAAGAATAGCTAAAAAGAGCCCAGGCCCAGTGTGCCCAAGAAGCCCAAGATAAAGCATTCCTGACAGGCTGTCTCAGGCAACCCTTCAGAAGAAGGCAGAGGGACTCAAAAGCTAAAACAAAGTACCCAAACCTAGTTGGTGCCTCTATTATTGCACTGAGTTCTTCCACATTTCCACAGTTCATTCCACAATTATTGAACTGTAGTTTAATAGCAACAGTGCAAGGCACTGACTCCAACCTCACAACTAGCCAATCGACTACTTTCATTGTACGCTCCAGTGGTAACACAAAACTATTAGTTTACAGAGGAACATTTCACTCAGGTGAATCTCTGAAACACATCGATAGGAGGATAAGCTTCTGCAGTACTGAGGCACCAGTGGAACAACTGCTCCTGACCCTCTCAACTTGTGTGGCTTTTAAACCCAAGATAATGAAATGTAATACAAACAAAGACGACAAAGACGACAAAGGCCAATGATTTTACGCACATGCAAAACTTTTTTCTCTGACAAGGCTACCCTGCTTCCTATAATAGCTGACAGCAAGAGGAATAGTTTTGATAGCATTGAGACATTATCACTTACTTGAAATGGGACATATAAACAATCCCAAAGGCACGGTGATACTACAGAAAATCATAAAGCCACTCAACTAAATAAGAAATTGCATCAGTGCCAGCAGAATCACTAGACATATCAGTATAATGAATGTCTTGATATTCAGATATTTAAACCCTTCATTTCCCATGGGCTTGAGCTGAACACACTGGTGTTGAAAACAAAGGTACTGCTACAGAATCCTCTTAGACAACAAGATGAGCAAGAACACCGAGCTGAAGCAGGTTTCGCTTTAATTGAGAATCAAAGACAGTTTCCTTACAGAGACTTCCCAGCCTTCATCTCCCAAACTTTATGCCTCCTTCAACATGCCTTTAAATTCCACACCTGATCTTCAACTCAATGCCTCTCCTAACATCTTGTTCCTTTCTTCCAAGCCTACTTCACTTTTGCACCCAGCAACTTTTACATGCCTCATGCAACATTCCATGTTTACATATGCCATTCCTCAGCATCTTGCATTCTCCGGCTCCTTTCCTAAGAGCTTCTGAAGCCCAGAAAGCTCTGTTGGGAAGAGACCTCAACACTGAAACCTTGGAGCACAGACATGTGCCCAGGCATATCTTGCAGGTCTATTCCATGGTCCCATGTGCTAAATGAAGCTGGATGGAATAAGCTACAATATCATAATCCTCTGCAGCTGGTAAGTGGGCTCCAGTAATAGGAAAAAAGATCAGAGCTCTACACAATAACCAAAGGGGAAACAGAGAAACCGTCCTCTCAATGTGCCCTAAACTACAGGCTGGTGACGAGGCCTGCTCCTCCTGATGTCAGCCCCTTGGCCTCTGCAGACACACAAGAGAAAATAAGACAGTACTGGAGAGTACAGCAGACAAGCAAACCTTCTTTGCTTTCAAATTGCCACGTTGCCTCTGCTAGAAGATTACTATGGCCCAACTGTGCTAATTCCCATGTGAAGCTTGGTGGAATAGAAATTTTCAGTATCCACCAAGAGCATTCTGCTGAAATAAGTATATACATGAACTACCGAATTCAGAGGGTATCAGCAGTGAAACCATTGCCAAAGTGCTTCATTGGTTCCATACATAATAAAAGCAAGGCTGAGAGATGATCATGATTTGCAAGACAGTTGGGTCAACACATCTCCTTAACTTTGCCACTACGAGGACCTCTCGACTGAGCCACCAGAGCTCAGCGGAGGGAAATAAGGGTAAGAGACACAACATCCATAGCTCCCATCTTCCTCTCCAGCATGCAAACCCCGACCCCCGCAACGCTGACGTGTCTCCCTTTGAAAATGCTATAATGTGCCATATTGTATGAGTCAATCCCATCTGACACATCAATTTCATCTGTGATGTCCTTTTTCCAGCCCCCAGAACGCAGGCAGCTAAAATCTATTCAGCAATGGAGCTGTAATGACAAACTGTCCTCTCAGAAGCTCTGAGCTTCTCTGACATGGTTCCAAAACTAATTAGCAAAATGCGTACCAAAGTACCAGTGATTACTAAAAAAACCACAATAACGTCCATGCTAAATTAGAATAAAATGTCCAAAGTCTCAGGGTTAAAAATTCTTACAGCGTTATTTTCCAGCTACACCATCTATCGCAGTCTTCTAATTTGTCACTCGGGTAAGGTCAAATTCTATCTATGCCTAATTTCCATGTAATATCAAAACCCTCCATTCATATTATGAAGTGCAACATCCTTCTAATGTTTGCCAGTTTGTCATTTTGAACCGACACGAGGCTTTGCTGCTGCAAAACTGTCACTGTTTCAACCTCCCGTAACACTGTGTAGAACATATCTGCCTCTCCACAAAAATTTCCAAAACCACCATCAGTTGATCAAACTACCTCAAAGAGGTTCACCCCTATTCTTGCCTAAAATACTTTCTATGATTTTTTTTAAACCTACATTTATTTGAAAAGATTATGTGTCCTTGTTGAGTCATAGTACAAATGAATGAAGAAAATATAGATGAAACAAAACATGCACCAACAAGACAAAAATGAATTGAAGTGCATATTAATTTTCTTTATAAATTGAGAAATCCTATTGCGTTAGAACTGGCATAAAGGCACTTACAATGAGGCCAGATAAGTTATAGCACAGAGCAAACTAGGCCATGGATGCACAGAACATTATCTGCTCTGTGTTATCTGCACATCCATGCACGTGAAAATCTGGCCATTAATGAAAAGTACATTATTTCTCCCATGGAGGAAAAAAACCCAAACACAACAAACCAAACGACAACAACAACAACAAAAAAAGTCTTGCATATCCTTTTATCCTTTTGGATGCTTAAAAGTGTGAGAGTTCAAACAGGTTTTTACAACAAGGCAACGGCATGCTATACATTCATACCTGTTTTATCTTACAGCAACACGCTCACTTGTCCCTCTTCCTCTCATTAAAGTTAACCTAAATTATACAGTCATTAAACCAAATTTGAATTCTGAGTTAATATAGTTATATGAATATTAATTACTTTAATTCAGTTACACTTAATTTATTTTGAATGTGAATTTTAAGTTAATTGAATTACGAATTTGAATAACAATGTCTACACAGGAATTCAAAGTAGTTTAACAAATCACTCTTAATTTCCGTTCTTCAGGACAAACTGAGAAAAGAAGAGCTTGGTGTGAGAAGGTGTAGGGGAATGCATTAAGCAAATGAACTGTGTATGCTGCTTAATTAAAAGAAGGTTGTGCCCATTTAGTTCTGCAGCACAGAATTTGGTGGCCATATGAAAAATCGGATTTTTAATTATAGTTGGCATTTCAGAACCTCCTGCTGGTTGCTACTTTCTTGCTAAAAAAGTGACCTCATTCCTAAACTTGTCACTGTGAGAACTCTTGTTATGAACTGCAAACAAGCTTCTATTTGTTTTAGAGTGGCTCACTAAAACTTCATTGTTTAAAACATTTAAACAATATAATAAATCCCGAATGGAATCTGCCGCTTCTGATTCAAAAAACAGTCTTTTGGATTGCTGTCTTGTGGCAATTGGATTGAAAAGTCAGGGTTTCTGGATTTTGTTCTGGTATTGCCTAGACAATTTTGTATTCAAAACTCATTAATTTAAATGGAAGTACCACACAAAGATGGAAGTGCCGTTTTTGCACTTGTGGATTCATAACTATTCCAGCTTTAAAATGGGTATCGCCTACCTGCAAAACACTGTTCTCGCCTTTTACTGACACTTCAGTTATAGACTACACCTCTCATAACATAGTGATACCTCCCTTCCTCTTAAAAAAAAAGAGGAAATACAGCAATGCAGAATGTGCAGATGAAAGGCACTAGAAATACTCTATTATTGTATAGTATCACTGAGACTGCTCGGCTACAGCATTTGCCAGGACAAGACACTGCCTATGTCTCACCAGAACAGACTTCCAGAAAAAAAAAAAAAAAAAAAAACCAAAAACCCCCAAAACCACAGACACCAAATTTAAAAACAATCATCCAGATTTTCTTCCAAAGTAACATCAACGGACATTTCATGTAAACATCACCTCCTCTGAAATATTTTCTCCTCTTTGTTTAATGAGAGGAACTGCTGGCATGGTTCCCTTAGGATGAGGTATTGTGTAAGTAAGTCATGTATTTCTTTGGTAGAATCCTTTGGACTTACAGAGATCACATAAAAGCCATTTTCCCCTGAATGTTCTCAACAAACAACATACTATTTCCTGGCTCATAGTTTCTAAATTCCACCTTCTTGAATGAGTCGTATATCCCAAAGAACTGTCTCTCTTCTTCCTGCCAGGGACATACTCTCATTCTGGGGTTTTTTTGGTTTTTTTCCTTGGCTTTTGGTTTGCATCCTCTTTCATCAACAATAGGTTTTGGCTTCATACACCAAGACGTACAGCTGCAACCAGTAAATCCCCAGGTCCCAGCTGCAGCCACTAGGTCAGACCCCTTTATGCACAAGCTTCCACAGGTCTTAGCATGCATTGCCTCAGGTGGCAGTTATCAATCACCAGACTGCTTGGTCAGTGAAGAACTATTTAATGGCTCCTTCCATTCAAGACAGTCAGCACAGCCATACTCTTTAGGAGGCCTACCAATAAAAATGGAAGACGTAGTTGATGGCAGTAATTAGCACCATTCATCTTAATGGTATTCATATAGAAAACATGTGCAAAAGAACATTTAAAAGGAAATGTCAGGAAAAATAAACACTAAATGAATAATAAAGTTCAATTATGCTTCTCACAGAAACACTGTGGAGGGAAATTACTTACTAGCTTTTCTGACCTTGCTAACAGTTGCACTATGTGGGGGTAGCTACCTAATCATAACTACCTTTATTTCTGAAAGACAAAGAAACCTGAAGGACTGAATTCCCAGCTAACAGTATATAAAGCTCTGTTACTGCCCAGTATCTGCATTCCATCTTACTGTGTCTTACCCAGTAGATTTGTGAGCCACAGGGCCAAATCCTCTTTCATGGGCAACAAGTTGGCCTCATGTCTACTTGCAAGCCACTGACTGTATTGATGCATATCAGAGAGGCCAGGCCCACGTGCCTTCGGGCTCAGAGCAGTGCACATTGCTTATCCGCTTGTTGTACCTGTTTTATTACATAAAGAAAAAAAAAAAAAGAAAAGAGAAGTACTTCATTATATCAAATAAAGTTTTGCAGGCTCTGTTTTTAGAACTGTAGAAGATAACAGTAACTATGAGTCCAAGAAATCAGATGTCAGGCAAACAGATGTGGATCTAACACATGAATACAACATTGATGATTGAAGTTTTGTTTTGTTAACAGATCACATCGCAGCCATACGGATTAAACCATACAGATAAATGTCGACTTCATTTGTACTCACCAAGCTACACATTGCCAACACATAACCAAATATTCTGCAAGGAGCGATTAAAATCAAATCAAAATAAACATTTCACACAAAGCTAACAACTCACTACGGTGCCTCATCCAATATCCACTGAAAATAAAGGGAAAGCTTCAGAGATTTTTGGATCAGGCCCAAGAAAAACATGAGAACAACTGAGTTAGGCTACTACAGCAAACTTACTAACAATAACGAATGCAGTTACCAAATGGAATCAGTCTATTCTACAGATTTAGAATAGTTAAAGAAAAAAAACAAACCACACCAAATATATCTACTGAATAGCATTATTTCTTCAGAAAGCAGCAGAGCAGCTAGTGCTGGCCACCCACACTTCCACTTCCACCTTTTATATAAATACTCCTCTGCTTCAGTGACGACTTACTGAAACTTTAGTTTTAGGCAAGACAATACATCACGTGTTAAATATTAGTCAAGTGTCCTGAGCCTTGCAGCAGCCAGAAACGTTAGGCCCACTGGACCTACACCTCTGCTCCTGAAGGACTAATTTCCCCATCCATGGCAGAAGCGTGCCGAGGAAAGGTTATTTTTCTCTCTGAAAAGAAACTCCGACCTGGAGCCTAATGCTTGTAGCGATGAGCCAAGATACTTTCTTGCCTGGTAGGATGTAGCCTGCTGAAAACTGGGTCACACCAACTAGCAGTCACAGGGTCTGATGTAGGTGGCACCAGGCAGACTTTCAGTGGCAGGGGGGTGGGAGGTCCCTAAGGAATGGTTCTTTGCCCATGGTCAACCGGCTGACCCATGCCAACTGTGGTTACACACATCAGCTGCCTTCAGCTTACAATGCACTGCAAACACTGTTTCTTTCTGTCCTTTGCATACCTTTTAAGTCAGGTAATAGTGACTTGAAAAAACAACAGCAAAAAAGAACAATTTGTTATACTATTCATCGTGGCCTGGAATAACAAGAATACTGAAAACAATTCCTTTGCCAAAAAAAGGAATATGTTTACTAAATGTAAAAAGCAATTGCCTCTCCATAAAATTGTGCCGTAACCAACATTTCCAAATATATGAAATGCTATTTGGGATATTTTAATGCTTACATTAAAACACTCCAGCATTTATTAACCATACCCCGGGTAACTAAACTCCTTGTTCACAAAAATATCTGCTTAAGCTCGTGTTGAGAGTACATTACCCCAAATCCTGAAGTTCGGCTTGCCCTTGAGATAGACACAGCTTTGCTACAAATATACTTCTTACTAAAATTAGACATTTTTTTCAGTTGGGTAAGGGGAAAAATAGACATAAACCAGACTTTATTCCCTTGTATAAATACACATTGCTGAATTATCAGTAGATTTTACATTTTTCTAACAACAACAAAAAAAAACCTTATGTATTCAAGTTCCTTTGAAAGCAGAGAAATTTAAGGCAGACTAAAGTTTGTAATTTAAGCACAGCTCTGTTCTGAAAACTGACTTTGTAAAAATGTCAGCTTGGATTTATGGTTTCCTGGCTGATTAAATCCAAATAATACCTGTTCATTTGGAGCAGGGTGCAAGGGAGTGGAGGGAGAAGAATTAGGCTGTTAGCTCTGCAAAAAAAATCAATCTGGAATGTCACTCTCAAAATAGATTCCTTAGGACTAGATGATACTAGCAGCTAAGGAATTACAGTGAGAGGATATTTAAAGTTGCTCTAAGTGACTCAGAACCATGCGATTTAGTGCTTCAAATCACCGCTTCATTTTGGACAGAAACAGAGGCAAAACGGATAATCTTCAGACACTATATGGGCAAAATCAAGTATAAATACCTCTGTCATATAGTTTCTTTCCAGAAAAAAAGCCTTAAAATAATTTTTTTTACTGAAAGGTCCACCTACCTCACCACTTCCAAGACCACATATATGAGGTCCCCTCTGAAACTTGGAGGTAATTAATAACCAACAACATTATAATATGCCTGACGGCCAGCCAGATACAATACAGGCTGGGGGCACTGGTGGGGCTGAAGTAGTTCTAAGGTCTGAAAGTTCATTTCTTTACGACTAGAGAAAAGAGGGGGAAGGTTTCTGGAGCAGCTATACAGAGGCAGTTTGGGGTTCCCCATCAGTCTGTGAAACGAGCACTGCAGCCTATTCATGCTTCAGGTTGATCTCTGCAGAGACGCAGAGCAGAGCATTTGGGGATTTGAGATGTTACTTCAGTTTGTCTCTAAAATACAGGGCCATCTTTAAACATATTTCATACTGACCGATCTCTTGTTTCGTAAAACTCAGCAACCAGGCTGTGTAAAGGTCTCAAGGAACTTTTGAGACTCACTGAAGGAAGGGAAGTGAAAGAACAGAGAGCTCTGATTTCAGAGGATGCATGGGTGCTTCAGTCTTGTAATAACTGTGGTGGTAAGAAGAGAGAAGATGGAGAGACAAGAAGGGTATTCTTAGTTTAAGGTAGTTTTAATAGGCCACAGATTCTCAGAACAGGAAACTAGGAAAGAAGAGGACAGACAGACAGGTGACAAAAAACTCTAGGAGCTGAAAATGATTCAGGCATCCCTATACTGGAACTAGGTCTACTTGAGACAGTAGCCCTGAAATAACAACAATGTGCGGGTTAATTTGTGAAGCAGGCATACAAAGTGATGACTGCAGAATGAGAAAGTCAATACTGATGAAGAGTCTCCACTGAGAAGATGCCTGAAGAATCACAGATGAATCACATACAATCCAACCTTACCTCTGCAAGTTTTCTTTAATTTCATTCCTGCAAGAATTTTCCCCTTCCACGCTACTTCTCTGAAAACCTGCCTTACACTTCAGTACAATACTTTCTTGTTAGAATCAAAGCAACAAAACTCCTACCTCAGATTTTTAAAATTTAAAAACAAATAAATAAATAAATAATCAGCCTTCAAGGAGCAGAGTGCAATTCGTTACCTGTAGCTCCCATCACAAACTCTACAAGTCACATTGAGGGTCAGTTATCAAACTGCAGGCATCAGAAGCTATGAAACTCTGAATTATTCTTTATGCAAACTGACCACTACTGAACTAAGCCTCCACGATACTTCAGTGCTGAAGTACCTAAGCCTCATTAAAGTGTTCATCTACTTCATGTTTTAATAGCCCATACATTAACTATTAAAACTTTGTCGCATACTGGCTGGGATCTGTGAAGAAGCTGAACCAAGTTAGGTGAAGGTGACAGCAGTTGGGTCCTGAGCTCCTCCAAGATGCCTTTGAAGATTCTACCTATAGTCAAGGCCCAAGGCCAGGCTCTTGATTCTTTGCTCAGATACCATCAACTGACCTCTTTAAAATGTCTTGACGTATTTATTTTCTGGTGAGCTAGAGAAAAGTTCACTGACAATTTAGCAGTGAGGAATTCGGTCCAAAAAATGGACTAACTTGCCACAGAGGTAGACGGTAGCATTCAAGGATACATCACCACAGCTGAGGCAAGCCTCTTTGGCTCCAACAACTATTTCATCCTTTCCTTTGGCAGACATAAGGTATGAACAAAGTAGCCAAAAAATACTGGTTTTCCTAATCTCACTACTTTCTAACAGTAACATCAAATCATCATATATAAAGGTCTTTAAAACTAGCCAACACAAACATGTCAAATATGTTACAGAATGTTACACTTCTCTATAAACTGTTGAGGCTGACATGAGAGATGCACGAGCATTTTCAAAACTTACCTCTAAATGCTTTGCTCCTCAAAAAGCAACTTCTTCCTCCTACTATTCTGAAGGCAGACAAGGAAAGGTCTTTAACTACTTTTCATTCTGTTTTGTTACAGGTCACATTTATACAGCACAGCCCTTTTTTCCACCTCTCTCAATAAGAGGATGACATCTCAAATTCTTAGACTTATTGTGAAGCTGAAGAATTCAGTGTGGGATAGTTTACAGTACACCCAGTGGCACATAACAGATTCAACACACTAAGCGGTTGTATTTCTCTCTGCTTGCTTCTACGAAACAGTGAAGTTTTTATTTTGCTTTACAGTAGTACATTTAGTCTTCTGTGTATTGTAGCTCACTGCGTGTATTTTGCCAGCAGTGTAACTTACGCTATCTGCTGATTGTTGTCAGTGATCATCAGGTGAAAGCAATGAGAATCAAACAAGTAATCTTCTGTAATTCCACTGGCTTTTGTTGGGGTTAACCGGTAGAACAAAAGGATTCCAGAATGATACGCTCTATACTCAAAACACACAAGGAGGAAAGACTGTTTAATCCGGAAAGTAAAACTGGCTGCGCAATTAGGCACTCAGTCACAGATCCCTGGATTCAATTCCATTTCCTATTCCAACCACCTTCCTTAGCTGTAAAATTACGATGATAGTATTCTTCAACCAAAGTCAAGTATAACCAGGAGGAAAAAATTTAATCTATATGGTAAAATTGTATATATAAAAGTGTGCGTGCATGCATACATGCACAGAAAATACATGTTTCACCCTTTGAATTAATCACAGAAAACAGTAAGTTTTTACTCCAAATTACCCAGCCAGTTCCAGCATATATACATAATGGCTTATACTGAGTAGCTGCTGCTCTCTGCATTACAGGAGTTTGATTGTAGCTTTGGCCTTATTCCTAATTTCAACACGTGAGTTAGTTCTCAAACAAAAGGTGGCTTCAACTACTCCTTTTAACTTGCTCCCAGATACAATCCCTCCAGGTCAGGGATGAAGAAGTCTTGCTGACTCGCTGGCT